GGGGGGGTCATCAGCCCCCCCCAGACCCACCTCGGGGCCGAAGCGGCGCCGGGCGAAGCCGTGGGCGCTCTCGTCGGGGTCTGTGCCCGCCGGGGTCAGCAGGTCCCGCAGCCCCGCCCAGAGCAGCGCCCGCGAGAAGGGGGGCACGGCCCGCACGAGACCCCTGGGGACACGGGCAGGTCAGGGGGGTGGCACTGGGGGCACAGAGGGTGTATAGGGGGGCACAGACAGCAGGAGACCCCTGGGGACACGGGGGGGTCAGGGGGGTGGCACTGGGGGATATTGGGGGGGCACGGACTGCAAGGAAAGAAAAAATTCCCTGGGGACCACGGGGGGTCAGGGGGGTGACCACTGGGGGGTATTGGGGGCACGGGGACTGCCTGGAGACCCCTGGGGACACGGGGGTCCAGGGGGGTGGCACTGGGGGATACTGGGGGGCACGGACTGCATGAGACCCCTGGGGACACGGGAGGTCCAGGGGGGTGGCACTGGGGGCACAGAGGGTGTGGGGGGGGGCACAGACAGCAGGAGACCCCTGGGGACGGGGGGGGTTAACGGGGGTGGCATTGGGGGGGCACAGCTCACAGGAGACCCCTGGGGACACAAGGGGGTCAGGGGGGTGGCACTGGGGGCACAGGGGGTGTATGGGGGGGAGCACAGACAGCAGGAGACCCCTGGGGACACGGGGGGGTCAGGGGGGTGGCACTGGGGGATATTGGGGGGTACAGCTCATAGGAGACCCCTGGGGACATGGGGGTAGTCAGGGAGGTGGCACTGGGGGCATGGGATGTGTATGGGGTGGCACGGCCCGCACAAGACCCCTCGGGGGTCAGGGGGGTGGCACTGGGGGCACTGGAGGGGTATTGGGGGGCACAGCCCACACAAGACCCCTGGAGACATGGGGGGAGTCAGGGGGTTGGCACTGGGGGCATGGGGGGTGTATGGGGGGCACAACAAGCAGGAGACCCCTGGGAACACAGGGGCGTCAGGGGGGTGGCATTGGGGACCGGGGGGGTATTTGGGGGGCACGGGGGGTTCAGGGGGTCCCTACCCCAGCCCCGAGGGCAGGCGGTGCAGGGCCCCCCCGCAGAACAGGAAGCGGTTCCGGGAGGCCGGGTGGTCCCCGGGCACGGGCAGCACGTCCCTCCCCAGCCCCAGCTCCGACACCTGGAGGATGGGGGGGATTTGGGGGGGCTCAAACACAGCCCAGCACCTACAGAGGGACCCCCCCAGAGCACTGGGGACCCCAAAACCCACCCAGGAAACCCCCAGAGCACTGGGGACCCCCAGTACCCACTCAGGGACCTCCCCAGACCACTGGGATCTCCAACACCCACCCAGGGACCCCTCAGACCATTGGGCCACTGGGGACCCCCAACACCCAGTCAGGGACCCCCCCAGACCATTGGAGACCCTCAGCATCCACCCAGAAACCCCCCAGACCCCAAAAACCTGCCCAACCAATACCTCCCGAAACTCCAGCCCCCCAGGACCCCTCTGGCACCCCGAGCCCAGCCCCAGGGACCCCCCAGACCACTGGGACCCCCAACACCCACCCAGGGCCCTCCCAGAGCACTGGGGACGCCCGACACCAACCCAGGAAACACCTGGACCAATGGGACCCCCAACACCCACTCAGGGACCCCCCAGACCATTGGGACCCCCAGCACCCACTCAGGGACCCCTCAGACCATTGGGACCCCCAACACCCACTCAGGGACCCCCCCAGGCCATTGGGACCCCCAACACCCACTCAGGGACCCCTCAGACCATTGGGACCCCCAACACCCACTCAGGGACCCCCCCAGGCCATTGGGACCCCCAACACCCACGCAGGGACCCCTCTGGCACCCCGAGCCGAGCCCTGGGGACCCTCCCCGAGCCCCCCCCCCGTACCATGTGCAGGGTCTCGGCGCCCACCGCGCCGTGGGGACGGACCCCCCTGGGCCCGTGTTCAAACACGGCCCCCTCGGGGGTCTGGGTGCTCTGCAGCCACCCCCCAAAACGGCCGCTGGCCTCCAGCAGCACCACCTGCGGACCCCCAGAGACCCCCCCCCCCCAAAAATGTCACCACGGGCACCCCACGGCGGCGGGGGGTCCCGGGAGGAGGAGGGTGGGAACGCCGGGGGGGGGCCCCGGGGGGAACAGAGGGCCGGGATGGAGTTTTGGGGTCCCAGGGAGAGCGGGGGGTCCCGGAAGGCTGGGGGGGGTCTCCGAAGGAATGGAGGTCCGGGGGGGGAAGGTTGGGGGTCTCAGGGGGAGAGTCTGGGGGTCCGGAAGCCTGGGGGGGGGTCCACTCCCCGAAGTAGGTAGGTCCGGGGATGGTTTTTGGGGTCCCACCGGGGAAGAAGCTGGGGGGGGTCTTCGAAAAGGTGTTTTGGGCGGTCCCCCCCGAAGGGAACGAGGTCCCGGGGGGGAAGGTTGGGGGTCTCAGGGGGAGAGTCTGGGGGTCGCGGGGGAGGCTGGTGGGGGGGGTGTCCTGGGGAGAGCTGGGGGTCCCGCAAGGCTGTGGGGGTCCCGGAGGGAAGGGAGGAGCGGAGGGGGAGTTCGTGGACGCCGGGTGGGAATTCGGGGGTGCCGGGGGTAAGTTCGGGGGGTCGCGGGGGAGGTGGGGGGGGGGTGTCTCCGCTCACCTTGGGCGGGCGGGGGGCTCGGACGAGGTGGTAACAGGCGGCCAGGCCGCTGATGCCGCCCCCCACCACGGCCACGGTCGGCGCCATGAGGGGACCTGGGCCGGGGGGGGGTCAGCGGGGTCGCCGGGACCCCCCAGACCCCTCCGATCCCCCCCCAGCCCGGCCCCGCGACCCCCGGAGCCCCCCCCGCACCTCTCCCGGCGTCCCCAGCGCAGGCCACGCCCCCTCCGTCCCGATAAGGGCATGAGGCGGGGCCTCTGGAGGCGGCTGGCCAATAGGAAGGCGCCGTGCGTTGATGGACAGGCGCGGGAGCGCGCCATGGAAGTAAACCACGCCCCCGCCCTTTGACCACGCCCACTATATCAACACCGATCCCATTGGCCGCGCCCCTGACATAGAAACCACGCCCCTTCTGATAATGGCCACACCTCCTGTAATTAGATATTGACTTACAAGCCCCGCCTCCTTCCATGACCACGCCCTCTCCCTTTAAACCACGCCCGTTCTTCCACTAGCCCTCCCACAAGCCCCGCCCCCACCCGTAGCCCCGCCCCTCCCGCTCCCCAAAACTCCGCGTTTTTCGTACTTTTTTTAGTAAATTTATTCACAAAACCCCCCGGGGCCGCGCGGGCCGCGGCCGAACCGCCCCCCGCGCCCCCCCCTGCCACGGGGGCCGGGGGTCCGGAGGGGTAGGGGGGGGGGGGCAGGAGGGGGGTCACACCCACCCCCCCCACCCCCTCCCAGCGCGGGGGTCCCGGGGGGCTCAGGGTCTGCGGCCGGGGGGCTCCTCCAGCTCGTAGAACAGCACGTAGCCCTCGCTGGACGGCACCTGGTTCTCGCTGATGGGGGACACGCTGCCGGGGGAGGGGGGACACACACCCTTAGCCCGGGTGGGCGGTGGGCACGGGGGTGGTTGTGCCCGGGTGGAGGGGGCAGGGGGCACTCACCGGGAGTCGTTGTAGACGCGCCAGCCCGCGGGGTCGCGGCAGAAGGCCGTGTAGTGCCCGTAGTGGACGCTGCCCGAGTGGTTGCACAGGGCGTACAGGCTGTACACGGGGCTGCCTGCGCCGGGGGGGGCACACGGGGGGGGGGCTCAGCGCTGCTTTCCCCCCCCTCCCCGAGCCCTGGCAGCGGGCACGGGACCCGCAAGTGCCTTTGCTTGCCCTGTGCCCCCTGTCCTGCCCCCTCCCGCCCCCTCCCCGCCCCTTCCCCGCCCTCCTCACCCGCCTTCTCGCTGGCGAATTCCCGCAGGTTGAGCTGCTGCAGCGGGAAATCCACGAACACGGAGCATTTCTTGATGGAGTAGCGGGTGGTGGAGAACCGGTTCAGGTCTTGGGGAGGGGAGGGGGGGCGTCAAGGCAAAGCTGGATGGAGGAGTGGATCCCCCCCCATGCCCCTCCCCATCCCCAAATCCCGCGGCTTCCCGAAGGATACGGAGCACCAGGATCCGGGGGAAGCGCTGGATCGTCAACTTCTTGGTGCTCCGCGTGCGCTGCCGGCACTTGTCACACACCTGAGGGGAGGGGACGGTGAGGGGGGGCGGCAGGGGGACAAACTTGGGGTCACAGAGGGGGGGTCCCCCTCTCCAAGCTCTCACCGGGGCGTTCTCCGAGTCCAGCTCCTCCTCCTTGGTGAAGAGGCTGAAGCAATCGTGGAGAGAGACCTTCCCCCCAGCAAAGCTTTTCTGGAGGGGCAGAAGGTCAGAGGGCACTTTGGGGGGGCACCCAGGGGTGTCTGGGGGGGGGCTCTGGGGGGCTGCACCCCACCCTTACCTTTGGGATGGGCAGCGACAGGTCGCAGAAGACCTCGAAGGTGGTGGAGCGGTACCCGCAGGCCTGGCACTTGAGGCAGCTCTTCAGCTGCCCCACAAAGAGGTCTGGGGGGCAAGAGAGGGGTCAAAGGGGGGGCCACCCCAAGAGGTTTGGGGGGGTCTCAGGGAGGGGGAGTGACCCCCACCCCCAGCGCTCACCCACGACCTTGCTGTCCTCCCTCTCCAGGTAGCGCTTCCACATCTGGTTGGCGCGTTCGTCGTCGCTGCGGGGGGAGGTCGAGGAGGGGGGGGTCAGCCCCAAAATCGGGGCTCCCTCCCCCCCCTTCTCACACACTTCCCCCCCCCCTCCTCTCCTCACCTGAGCGTTTCGGGGTCCTCCAGGGCGGGGGCTCTCCGTGTGTCCGACAGGATGCTGGGGGTCCGCCGGCCCTTGCGGTTGATCTCCACGTGCAGCCGGTCCATGAAGAACTTGAGGAATTCCTGCGCGTCCTGCTGGCTGGGGGGGGGGGACACACACACACAGGGACACGTCGGACCCCCTCTGCCCGACCCCCCAAAGGTGTGAGGGGGGGTAGGGGGGGGTGATCCCCTCACCTGTAGCCTGTGAAGGAGGGGACGTATTTTTGGAACACGGCCTTGAAGCGCCCGGGGTTGACGGGCTCGGAGGAGTCCGGGTGCCAGAGCGCCGCGATGACGTCAGCGAAGGCTGCGGGGACAAGGTGTGTGTGGGGGGGGGGGGACACGGGTCTCAGGGGTTATGTAACCCTTCCAGGGAGGTCCTGAGGTTTTTTTTAGGGGGTCTCTCCCACCTTCTGTGAGCTCCTGGGGGGCCCTGGGGCCGGGGGGCTGCTCCTGCTGGAAGTCCCGGCGCAGGCAATAGTCCCGCAGGGGTTTGGTGCTGCTCAGGCACTGCAGCACCGCGTTCATGAAGCACTGGGGGGGGACACAAGGGGATGGTGCTGGGACTTGGGGGGTCCCCAGGGGTCCCCTTGGGGTGTCCCCCACTGTTTCAGGCACCCTTGATTATATTGTGGGGTGGGGGGGGATCCTCGGGGATGTGACATCCCTCCCAGCGGGACGGGACTGCGGAGGAACAGCCATGGAGAGACCTGGGGACCCCCAGGTGACCCCAAAGGGACCCCGAGGTGACCCCAAAGGGACCCCGAGGTGACCCCAAAGGGACCCCAGAAGACCCCAGGGGACCCCAGATTCTTTGTTCACCCCAGGACAGTGGGAGAGGAGGGTTGAGGGCCACGGGGACTGTGCTCTAGGACTGAGGGTCCCCAAGGACATGATGTTCCCAGTGGGACAGAACCGTGGCCACCATGAGCCTGGAGGACCCCCAGGTGACCCTAAAAGGATCCCAGGGGACCCTAAATCCTTCGTGCAGCCCAGGACAGAGGGAAGGAGGGCTGGGGACCACGGGGACTGCGTGGGGGGGCTGGGGGAGCTCTGGGCACGTCACAGCCCACCAGGACGGGACAGCAACACCACAACAGCCACGAGCCTGGGGGGGACCCCGAGGTGAGAGACCCCCCACAAAATCCCTCCCACACCCAGCACGGAGAGCCAGCAAGGTCTGGCGGCCACGGTGGCCACTTACCGTGTTGCCTAAATTCCTGAGGCCCACGTGGCCCGAGCCCAGCAGCAGCGAGTGGTGGGTCTGCGGGGACACCGAGTGACACACGTGAGCCGCGTCCCCCCACCCGCGACCCCCCCGGTCCCCCCTGGCCCCCCGGACCTCGCCGGTGACCAGCAGCAGCCCCATGACCGCCGTGTGCACCACGGACTCGGCGATGTCGGCGCTGCCCCGGCCCGGCAGGTCCCGCCGGGGGAGGAGGGAGCGCTGCAGCTTCCTGGGCAGCTCCACCAAAGTCGCTCCCTGCAGCCCGGGCATGGCTCCGGATGGCACTGCCAGGGTCTGTCCCCCTCGGGAATGTGGCACCGGGGCCGCTGCGTCCCCTCGCCCGCCTCCCCCCCCCCCCACAGCGCCCTCAGCTCATTAGCTGATCCGATTCCCCAGGGCTATTCTGGGGAGGCTCATCCCGGGGGGGATTAATTAGCCCCGGGACCGCCCCCGGGGGACAGCGGGAGCCGCTCGGAGAAGGGGTGAGGAGGTAAACACCAACCCCCCCCCACCCCAAAACCAAACCCCGCCGCCAGGGAAGGGTGGTGGGGGCTCAGCGGGGCTGTGGGACCCCCCGTGGCACCGCTGGGGACACGCCACGGGGGGTCAAACCTGTCCCCCCCGGGGGGGATTTCAGGGATCCCGATCCTGATCCCAACACGTGGCCGGGCAGGTGGTGGATGGGGATGGGGGGGGGGGACGGATACGGAAACGGGGATGGCACCGGCCACCTCTGGTCCCCCCAGAGCCACAGGGGTGGCACTGGCAACCCTCGGTCCCCCCCTCGAGTCAGAGGGATGGCACTGGCCACCCTGGAGCTGCGGGGGACAGCACTGGCCACCTCTCAGTCCCCCCAGAGCCACAGGGGTGGTACTGGTCACCACCAGCCCCTCAAAGCCACAGGGATGGCACCGGCCACCCTCGGTCCCACCAAAGCCACAGGGGACAGCATTGGCCACCCCTCAGTGTCCCCAAAGCCACAGGGATGGCACCAGCCACATCTGCCCCCCCTGGAGCTGTGGGGGTCCCCAAAGCAGGACTGGGGCAGGGAGAGTTGAGACCACCAGCACTGTCCCACCCTGGTGGGGCCACTGACCCCACAGTTAGGGACACTGGGAGGGTCTCAAGGCTGGGGACACCCTGGGGGTCTCACTACGTCCCCATGACCCCCTGGTGACCCCCAGGGTGTGCCATCACATTGTCTTGATCAGGGACACCTTTGGGGTCCCACCACATCCCCATGGCCCCTTAGGGACACCCTGGGGGTCCCAACACATCCTCACGACCCCCTGGTGACCCCCGGGGTGTCCCATCGCATCCCCTTGACTGGGGACACCCTGGGGGTCTCGCCATGTCCCCATGGCCCCTTAGGGACACTCTGGGTGTCCTGCCACGTCCCCATGACCCCCCGATGACCCTCAGAGTGCCCCATCACATTCTCCTGACCAGGGATACTCGGGGGGGTCTCACCACATCCCCTTGACTAGGCAAACCCTGGGGGTCCCACCACATCCCCATGGCCCCTTAGGGACACCCAAGAGATCCCACCACGTGCCCCCTGCCAGGCCACCCAAGGTATCCCCCCACGGCCCCATTCCCTGCCCTGGGCACACCCCGGGGGTGCCCCCCGTGCCCCCCCCATCTCTTACAGCAGCCGCCTTGTCCTCGTTCCTGCCGCTGCCGGGGCTGCCGGGGCCGTACGGGGCGGGGTCCGGGCGGGGCCGGGGGCCGCCCTCGGGCGGCCGCACCG